GGGAGGCGGCTTTGTCACAGCTATTGCGACCGACAATAATGGCTTAGGAAAGCGGCAGGAAAACAAGGCAGAACCGCAAGAGCATCAGCCAAAGCTGACTTGCAATGCTGGAAAACAGCTGCCAAAAAGCCGGCCAAGTAAATGGGCAGAAAATGGGAAATGACATGCAGAGGACAACTCTTCTTCGCCGCCGAAGGAAAATGCAACGGGAAAGGCAAAAGAAAATGCGAGGAAAAGCACACAATAACAAATGCAAGTCGGTAACGCTTTCGGAGTCGGCAGACAACACTTCAAAAGTGGTGAGGTGGTCGTGGAAAAGTGGAAAGTGGTAGAATCCAAGGACTGGGTGGGCATGGTGGGAGTTTTGCATTTTGTGTGCCATTGTGTCAAGTGGAAATTGCAGGGCGAAAGCTTAGGAAAAGCGAGGGAAAAAATGGCAAACACGCAGAGCTACCACGGCTACCACGGAAAAGATGACAATATAGCCTCAGGCTCCGGGGCAACAACAAGGAGCACAAAAGGAGATGTCGGCTTAAAGTTCAATGGAAAATATGAAAAGTAAAATGGCGACAGTGGCTTCCGTGGAAACGGGAAGAGCGGGAGAGACCGGGAAACCCGGGAAAGCCAGGGGGCCGGGCCGAAGGATGCTTGGGTCGACGAGCAGTCGGCCATTAGCGTTTTATGGCCAAAAAGAAAATCGATACACTCGCCCACACAAACACACACAAACACACTCACACAGGCAAACGACAATATGTTTGCTGCTCTTGTAGTTGGCCTCCATTTCGTTTGCAATTTGTGACGTGCAAGGGTTGAGGACACCTTCCACACGCCCCCGCGGCCCCACAGCCCCGCAGCCCCCTTTGTTTTCACTTCAATCATAAAAGCATAACACAAAGCCATTATTCTCTGCAAGAGGGAAGACATACACCTACATATATGCGCTGCCTTCCATCCTTCTAATGTGGGTTACGGCTGGGGGGGGCAGGGGGAGCGGGGAGGTTGAGCGAGAATAACATGCATTGAATCACTAAAATGCCGTAGTGTATGAAAGTACATTTAATTAACTAACTAAATATAAACACAGGAAAATCCATCAAAAATGCTAAGCACAAAATCAGGCCGAGACACATTTTGAAATGTTTGCTTTTCTTTTCCAGCTACGCAATCCTTAAGCTCTGCGAACGATTATCTTCCTGGCAGGTCAAGGATAAATTCCTTTTGCACTAAAGTATTACAAGGACCTAACATTATGGAAGGGTTTTATAAGTTTTAGACAGTTAGAAGGGTATAACCATAATTGTATGATTTCCTGTGCCACTTATGAAATTAATCCGCATTGCTAGTCCTTGAACAAAAGCATTTCTTATTACTGAATGTTTAGCATAAATGGGGAAAGTATATTTTTATTAGGCAGTACTTATCTAAGCCAAACCATTCCTGCGTTTCGTCTCCAGACCGTACATTGAATTTATTTCTTTCGGCTGCCCGGGTTCATTTGCTTCTTTGTTGTCCCGCCTAAGGACTTCTAATAAATCTGAGATTTGTGGAATTTATGCAGGAGAGGACTTAAAGTTTGCGCCTAGAAGCGGGCTAAGGTTTCCAGCGAAAAGCAAAGCAGATTTCCAGCAGCTGGGGCTCTCAAAAGTTCTCCCGGTATCCCCTTGGCAACATAACTTTTGCTTTGAGTACCAAACATAAGCTGCTTAAATTTTGTTTTTCCACCGGAAAAACCTATCCAACATATGCGCCCCATCAAAGCCCATTTCGTAGTCGCCAACAAGGGAAGGGTTGCTTCAAATTTCGGGTTGCAGAGTTCAGTGGCACCCATGTAGATATGTATGCATGTCTAGTTCATTGTGTCCTTCACTTCACCTGGGGGGGCGGGGTGAAAAGCTGGGTGAAAAACTGAGCCGAGCTTGTAAAATATTTGCGTTTTCAATATGCCTCAACAAGTGTGTAAGATGCTTACGGGGTGCGGTTGTCTCCCTATTTACTTTTCATTTAATTTCCAATTCCTTCGTTCGGCGCTTTTAATGGCACTTCATGCAATTAAAATGCCAAGTCAACAATTCTTTCAGCGAGCAGCTCGTAAGCTACTAAAAATTATTTTTTACGATTGTCATAAAGACGACTCTCTCGCCCAACTTTCTCCACCGCCCAAAACCCCAAACCCCCAAAACCCCAAACCCCCAAAAACCCTTGCCAAAACAATGACGCCTCGTCTAGCGACTGGCAGCGAAAACATCCGAGCATCGTCGAGTTTTTAATTAAAATTTTTTCTCCTTTCTTCTCTGCTCAGTTGGTAAAATATTTTGGTAAGCTCGAAGTGTTGAGGCAGTCAAAGAACTGAGGGGCAATCCTTTAACAAATTAATTTTTAGCCTCAAATGAGCGCCAGCTGCCTTTAATGGCTTGTTTCCACCTACTTACAAGTAAGTGGGAAAGGGGAAGCCTAGTCGCCTAGCCAGCTGGAAAACTCAGGGGAAAGGCTCTAAGTTCAGTTTTTATGACAGCCTTTGAGATTAATTAATAAATTGAATTGAGGTGAATGTCGCTTTTTCCAATTTGCGGCTCTCTTTCAATCAAGTTCTATCAATCCCAAATAGTTGTACACGTAATTGCTTTGTAATTTTGCAACCATATAGAATTATATCAGAATTATGTGACCTGACAGGCAGTTTTTAAAGAATTTCACTTGAAATTCCTCCTGTTTTGCGGCTATAACCTGTAGTTTGCACACATGTAGAGGAGCTCAAGTCTGTTTTATTTTGAACTGACAACATTTTCGCAATACTTACGTTCGGCACTCTGCCAGGAAAAATAGCTTTGTAGTTATAAATATTTTGCAGGGAGAATTTAACCAATGTACTGCTTGTTTATTTCATTTCAATTACTTTCCTAGGTAAGAGGAATGCTTATTACTATGATACAGCATTATTTGGAATTGTAAATACTTAAGCTAACGCAATAGCATTTTCCATGGAAAATTCCGCGCAACAAAACCAAGCAGTACTGGATACCCAATTTGACCCACTTAACATACAGTATTTAACTCCTCGAGGATTAGGAGTAACGAGCCGGGCTCTTTCACTACCCGACTAGTTTCCAGTTACTCGTAATTGTATCTGTGTATCTTCATCTCCGGATGTGTTGCGAGTACATGGCTCGGTCTAGTTGCTGGCTGTGGCACATAAGGTGGCAGCAGACCCAGTTAGCGGCCGTGTGTAAATGCAACTTCTGCCACTTAGTCGGTTTGAGGGGAGGAGCCAGGTGCTCCGGGGGCACTAACGTCGTGTGCTGCAGTTATGCGATAGCCGCCGACCTTTTATGGCATTTTTTAGTGGCTCCTGCCTAAATAAAACCTGCTCCAGATGTTGCTGCTCGGGTTCAGGGTTTCCCTCAACGGGCTTTTCCTCTGCTGACTTGACCATAACGCGCCGTGTATCCTGAGCTACGCTTGCAAAGTATGCAACAATTTTCCGTAAAGCGAAACCACAGCACCGGCAGGTTGGTGAAAAACAAGCTTTCGCACGGCATTTTCCGGACTCGTTTCTCCGTCTTCTCGGGAATAGTTTTCGGGTATTAAATAATGTGACGCAATAAATGAGTGGAGCTGTCGGCCTCGTTAGTGCTCCCCGAAACGAAGCTAATAAAAGGATCTCCTTACCCGGAATGCAATGTTAGCCGGCATTTTTAGCTGCATAACAAGCACTAGATACACTGAGCGAAAGGAGCGACCTGTATTTCCTTACTATTAATTATCCGACAGCGAACATTTTTAGTCAGAAACTTTCCAAATTTGCACGAACTATCCTAACTGTGTTCAGATTTGTTCATTTTTGTTATACTTGTTTATTTTCGGCTGTGCAAACTTCAATTCTGGGTCACGAATTCGAGCCTTGCATTATATTAGCGAGACTTTCAGGAGCTCAGAACTTCAAGACATCATTTGGCCAATTTATAAATGCGCATTGGGAAAATGTTTCCGTTTGGAATTTTCAGTTCTTATTTCCAGCCCCACAGCTTCGTTGTCATGAAAATTATGCTGAAATGCAATCCCAGGTGACCCATATGTTAACGGGAATAAGCAACGAAAGTAACGCGGAGTAAAAATCGGTCTATACAGCCTCATTACATACCCTGCAATTTAGGAGCTCTCCAATAATTATGTGATATATACCCGCAAATATAAAAGAAAAATATTCTTTTGCCATAATTTCTGCCATATCTTGGTTTATAGAGTATTATACCATTATTGTACGGTTACATTGGCTCTTGCATCGAATGTGTGCGGTGTGCGAAAGTAATTCAGTGGCAAAAGTCATGTCTGCCCGCCTTCACCTTATTGCATGGCACAGTTCCCAGGACACTCTCCGTGGGATTTATGACTACCAAATTGATATTAATGCTGGAAAACACGTCGTGTGCTCCGCTCCTTCTGCAAATATGTGGAGTTGGTGAGCAGGGGGGTTACCTTGGGCAGGATTGGGAATGGTTCGCAGTGCCACCTGGGCAGCGTTGAATTTTTGGATTTTTTACGTGGAGGGGAGATCCTCTCGGGGTTTTCGCTACGAATTGGTGTGTCCTATGGTGTCCTGACTTGGGGCGCTGTAAGCCGCGATTAACGTAAATAGCGTATAAAGAGCGGCCAGCAGTGGCTGAAAGAACCAAGTGAGCCAAGTGACAAAAAATGCAAGCTGAATGTAGTCCAGCTGCTCCGAGTGGACCAAATGTAGGTCATGAAAGGAATGGAGTTTGTATATAGTATATATCCACAATGTATATGTCTGCAGGTTCGTGGATAAAAGCTGCCTCACTTGCAGAGCACAGACATTGAACACATACATATCTCGAAAGATCATCAATGAAGAAGTTGGGTATAACCATTAAATAAAATATATTTTTATTTGTCCATGGCAACGAAATGGTTTTAATTAAATGAGTTCCACTGATCTAGTTTCACAGCCTCTTACTTATAATACTCCCATATCATTTCAGACTTAAAATAGACAACAACGGAGGAGCTTGGTGCCCGAAGCACATGGTGTCCCGTGGTCTAACGGAGTACCTGCAGGTCGACCTGCTAGGTGTCCACCTGGTCAGCGCCATACGAACCCAGGGCCGCTTCGGCAAAGGTCAGGGTCAGGAGTACACTGAAGCCTATGTGGTTGAGTACTGGAGGCCGGGTCTCAAGAAATGGATTCGATGGAGGGGCCTCCAAGGCAAAGAGGTAAATATCAAAGGCAGTAAATCAGGCTTTGGTGTCTGGAAAGGGGAAGTCATAATATCTCACAGTTCAGTTTACCCCAAAATCACTTATTATTTGGCGAAGCACTCATAGGAACATGGGATACACCATTAAACAAATCGGATCTCTGTGAGAAGAAGTCTGTTGCCGATACTCTATGCTCGGCCCATTCACACATTAATCATGAGCAGGCCAGGCCAAGCAGATAACCATCTGAACCATCTGGGGACTTGGGCTCGAACGGATAGTGTGCAGAAGATATTGGATCCTTAAGCGAATCAATTTACGTGCGAATTACTGGCAAGTGGAGGAGTTGAGAAAACTGCGTAGGTGTCTGGAACCCGTTCCATCGATTTGCTGGCTGCCAGCGATGTGAAATCAATTTTGGCGCTTTTGTTTTTATTTCGCCTGCTCATGATGGTATTTTGGCGATCAGGTTGCCGCCTACACACCACACCACACCACTCCACATGCCAACCACCCATTTGTAATGCCTGCCCCAATTCCTCTCGTTCCAGGTGCTGCCCGGCAACATAAACACCTACAGCGAGGTGGAGAACGTGCTCCAGCCCAGCGTCTTCGCCTCCAAGGTGCGACTCTATCCCTACAGCCAGTACGATCGCACCGTCTGCCTGCGCGCCGAGATCGTCGGCTGTGCCTGGGAAGGTAGGTGCCCATTCGCTCGCCAAGAGTTGTGCCCCACTCCCACTCCCACTCCCACTCCATAGGAACCTGGGACCCCTGACCCCCATATCACCCCAGTCGATCTCGCTCGTGGCCCAAGGCCCGCAAAGAAAACGTATTTTTAGCTGCAATGTAATGAAAGTCGGACAGAAAATAAATTATTACGAGTTCGAAATCTTAAGAGTGCTAGTTGAAAACTTAAGTTTCGGTCATTCGAAAGTACGCTTTCCATTCGTCACTTTCAATGAACTTCAGCTAAAAGTATTTCAATATCCTAGCAATAATAATAGAGTAATAACAATTTATCCGTTGCAGAGGGAATTGTGTCGTACAGCATTCCCAAGGGCATGCAGAGGGGCATGGACATCGATCTGTCGGACAAAACCTACGATGGATACGAGGAGGGAGATCATTACGTGAACGGTTTGGGCCAACTCGTTGATGGTCAGCGGGGCAAGGACAACTTCCGAGCCGATATTAATGGCCTCGGCAAAGGTAGGACAGGCAAAGCATTCTAAAGTGAAATTCTTGTAGAAATTTTCAACACTTTTGCAGGTTACGAATGGATTGGCTGGCGAAACGACACTTTGCTCGGGCGGCCAGTGGAAATCATATTCGAGTTTGAGACAGTTCGCAATTTCAGTGCTGTCATCATACACACCAACAACATGTTTTCCAAAGATGTTCAGGTAAATGAGTAGCTCGTAAATGTTAGCCTTTCTCTTAAATCCTTAAATTTTATGCGTTTGATACCAGAGAAAAGTGGTATCAACGTTTAGATATTTATAAGATAATCTTACTCGCGCTACTTAATTTTTATTTCACTTTGTTAACTAGTGCTATGTGCTTAATCACCACATCTACAAATTTCCACTGAGCAAATCGTAAAAAGCAAAAACCTGGGGGATCCACAAATGGGGGTCCCTCGCCAGACAAACTGGCGGCGAAATGAGCAAATAAGAGCTAAGCATTCCCAGCCACTTCCACCCAAAGCAATAATAATAAAAAATCGAAAAAACGCTCTTTATAAACAAAGCGAAGACGCAATCGAACCTAAACAAACTAAAATTGATATGGGGAGCTCTTGGGGTTCGACTCGGCGTACTTATAAGTAGGGTATGAAGGGGGTCCGGACTCCAGTTCACCCATTATCAAGTCAGTTTCTTACTCACTGCAGTCTTTATCGAAAGTAAACAAGCATCGTGAGTGCTTATATATAAATGAAAGTGTAGATATATCTGTATCTGAACACTGCAGCTATGTAAACAAATTGCTGTGCCACAAAACTGAGTGTACACTGTTTACTTCGAACACTCCCACCTTGTTAAAAGACCGCAGTAAATATTTCAATCTTTCGAAAATAACTTTTAAAGAACACATTTTAATAGCAACTATATTGCTATATTTATTTAATTTAGATTGCCACGTCTCCAGACCCATTTAATATAGGCAATGTATTTGTTACCCATTTTGATGGACTGAGAGCTGCTCATTAGTAATGCTGAGGGCGAAGTCAAGCACACAGACATCAAACATCAAAGAGAATGGGAAAGAAGTCCTCAATCTTGGCCAGACCACTGACCACGATGTGCGGTTGGGCTGGCTTCTCTTTTGATCCAACAGGTGGCGTGTGGGGGCCACACGCGAGTCATAATTAAAACGCACTCAGTGTAATTCTGAGGCTTATCAATGCGTCATAAACGGCATTCCCACTATTTACGGCACGACCGCAAAGTGGCCAGCGTTGATCTGCTGAGAAGCTCTCTTCGTAATTTCAGGACTAATGGGTCATTTGATAACGAAGCCTGGTCCCACCAATGATAATGGTAATGAAAAGTCGTAAAAATGAAAATCATAACAGTCGACGACATAGTGGCTCTGTAAATTACGGGGCAGCGAAAACCAGAATTTAGCTCCTAATGGGGTCTTGAGTGCCTCCATGCCTCCATGCCCCCATGCTTCCATGCCTCCAGGTGAATCTAGAAGTTCCCTCTGCGCCCCGAGTGGCGGCATCAAATCCGAGATTTGTGGTAATTGAAATTTTATATGCAGCTGTAAAGCGGTTGTAAAGTCTGCGGTTTATTAGATATCACAGCCGAATAATTAGACGAATTTTTCAAACTCTATACACCTTAGAAAATGTACAAGATAGCAAATGTTATTGTGATACAATTATCCTTCATCAACCTCGATCTTAATCAGATTACAAGGGTTTGATTACTTCAAAATTGAAGCAACTTAAAAACTTTTATTCGGATACCAATATAGTGGCTTTTGTTTACGGTACTCACATTTCATTACCAATTTTGTGAACAGTCACATTTCATTACCAATTTTGGCTCCAGCTCTACAACTCATTAGCCATTCGTAGCTGCAAACTACAACTCACACACAATATACATCCGGCTGTCCAAAAATAGGCGTTACTACCAGTCCAAACCATTTAAAACGCTTGGGTGTTTTTGTTTGATTATATTACAAGTCGCTTTCACAACTGACCAAAACGATTTTGTGGCTTCGCCCAAAATTGGCGGTAGTGAATAAAATTACACATACTAATTGTATACGGTTCACAGTTCTCACAATCGGAAGAAGGTGTGTGCACTAGCACCTGTCCATGTATTCGCTAGCTACGGCAGTTGAATGTTAATTCAGCGCCTTACATGAAGTTGTTAGATACAACTATGTATCTGAACTCTGCATAAGTTAGCTGCAAAGCCGCGAGCAAGAATTAATCGAATTCGTGCTGCTCCGAACGGTGTAACAATTCTTTGAAAGTAAATATGTCTAGCATACGCACTAAAAAGCGCGGAATGATCTATGAATTTGGCTATGTACAAGCTTATAGCTGTTTGCTCCTTGATCCTAACGGCGATCCGTCTCCTCATTCCAGGTGTTTGTCCACGCCAAAGTATTCTTCAGCATCGGCGGTCGCCACTTCTCTGGCGAGCCGGTGCAGTTCTCCTATATGCCCGACCTGGTTTTGGATCACGCACGCGACGTGACAATCAAGTTGCACCATCGCCTGGGGCGCTACCTGCAGTTGCATCTGTACTTCGCCGCCCGCTGGATGATGATAAGCGAGATAACGTTTATATCAGGTAAGCAAAGTATTTCAAACGGAAGGGTAAAGCCCACATATGACCAGATACTTTACTGCTCTTTCTATACTTCAAAGTATGTACATCCAGCTTCACTAACAGTATTACCTGTTACAAATTAAAGAGTGTGTGTGTCTGTGTGTGTTGCTTGGCATGCTGCATCCTTTGAGCTCCGTTGAAAGCATACGTAGTTAAGCCCTCAAAATGGCAAAAACAACACGGCACGTGAGGGCAACGGTGGCAAAGTCAAACATAAACTGCGGCAGCAACAAACACAGCTCGCATCCATTGAAAATTCCCACTGACACTAAAAATCGTTGCGCATTTAATTAAAAACGAGCTGGCAGACCCGATCAAGAAGGGCTCGACTCACGCTCAATGGCGCAAAATTTATTACCAGCCGGGCTGGGGAAGCTTACACCCATGCTCCTACGCTCGGATATGGAGCGAGGAGGATTTTTACTTGACTCACCCATGAGCACCAGTAGCCGGCAGCTTTGTTTTTCCTTGCCGTGTGCAATTGCGCATAGAGTGATACAAAGCGGCGGGCGGCGGGGGGTGGTAAGTAAGTTGATGCTGCTGCAACTCGACTGCCATTGTGACGTTGCAGCGGAAACGGAAGTGCTCACACACACACACACACACACACACGCGCGCAGGGAATCCGGCAGCATATGCTCCACTGGAAGCAGAACTAAGAGCCGAGCCGAACTGAAGCACTGGGATATTGTAAAAATTAAATGAGTTGCCTTCCTTTTGTGCATTTGAAATTTGCAACTCAATGAGCAGCCGAGCCGGATTCCCAGAAGCTTTCATCGCACTCGCCAGCCTCGGATTGCATTTCGTTTTAAAATGATTGCCAGTAAATATAAGCTGGCCTCCATGTGCAACTTCTCGGATCGATGTTTTCGATGGTGCCAACACATCTAGACCAAATTATGCAAAGTAACATTTTTAATGGTCAACCACTTCGCTTGGGCAACACACTTGCTTTGCACCGCAGCTCATTTATATTTGTCCGTACTAATTGAACACGCGATTGTGTCTTCAGCTTTTCAGATATAGATGCATTCGCGCGATAAAAAGTACATTAGTAGTTTCGCGATAAATTGAATTGTAGAGTATTCCCAGTGTGCCGTGTGGCACATGCCAAAGCCTTCTGTTTGTGTTTTTTGCCCATGGCGCTGGCTTAGTCCTCGTGAGAGATTTGTGTTTCGCTTTTACTTTTTGCATTTGTTTTATCCCCTAATGCCCCTCCTCGGCAGCGTAGTTAAGCTCTGCCGGAACACTTACCTAGATAAATCAATAACGTTGCAATATATTTTTGCAAATGGAGCACATGCTTTGTGTCTGCTCAACGGTCGTCCCGTCTTTTTCGCTTCATTTGCTGTTTGGGTGCAGCATACGGCTCAGTCATCCGATGGCTCATTCATTCAGCCACCCACTGGCTGAGTGAATGCATTCAAAGTCATTTCAATAACTCCGCTGCTCGCTCTTTAAGTCCTTGTGCAGCTTGTCCCGCTTAATCCTTTCTAATTGAAAATCGCTTTGGCTGGCGCTGTGTGTGTGGCTCTGTGTGGAAATGCTGTGGAAATTTGCTGCTCAATTTGGTTGATTCTTTTGGCCATAAGCTGGCCTTGACAGCACTCGAAATGCGAATTTGATTTGTAATTTCCTTAATGACAACCGAACTATAAGCTGAGAGTGATTCTGCATGGGAAACAGCGTATAGATGGATGTTCTTCGAAATTTAAAGTCATCTTAAAATGGACTCCTCGTACATATGTCGCGGCAAAGTTGTCTTTGCTAATCCAGCTAGCCCTTTTCGGCAGACATTTTAGGCAAAACCCTTCCATCGACGCTATTTGCATATTAAAATCAAACCCCGAAAAGCATACAAAAAACTTTTGTTGCCAAAGAAAATAAAAGGCGGCGAAGGCGGGAGAGAAACCGAAAGCACAAGCGAAAAATCAATGCCAAGAGCTGTTCAAATTAGCATATCCCCCGAGTTGCTAAATGTTTTTTGTTTTTTTCGACTTTCCAAATTTATACAAATTCGTCCGTTTTTGTTTTTAAATATCCAGCGAGCAGGGTTCAGCAAGCGCTCCAGGCGGAAATGCATCTGCACGATATGGAAAAGGATATAGAAAGAACAAAGTCAACAGACCGATGGGTAAACTTTTCTGACCATTGGTCTAGTCGGTATTGTTGTCGCTCATCGTTATTGACGACTGTCTGGGCTCTCGATGGATATATGTTTGGTCTGCGTCGGGGCAAAAGTCAACATCGAGTCCGCGGAGGAGCAAACAATCGCCGACGTACGCTCCGACGCCTTTAAGTAAACCTACAGCACGTCGTAATGCCCCGTTCTCACTTCCGCTTCTCGCGGATTTCGCCACCCACTTGTCATTCCTCGTCGGAGCGCTGATATGACGCGCGGCACTCGGCCATTTTTCATCATAATAATCGCTCTTCGTCGCTCCGTCTCCCAGACCCACATTTCGCCTAATTGCTCACAGGACCCATTAGTGGAGGCAGTTTATCACGGCGGACAGCATCCACGCCTCGTTCGGAGTAGGTGGACCTACTTTTTTCGAACCTCCTAACAGTCCTCCGCACTCCAAAAAGCATAACAAACATGGGTCCAAGGATACAGTTTCCCATACCCTTCAGGGAGAGCAATAAGCTTCGCCCTGACCATATTATTCACTCAATTAAAAGAGGAGAACTCATTTTTGAAAACTTTCTCTCCAACTTGCAGTTCCTGTGGTCGGCAATTTCACGGACGAGCTGCCGAATGGCGAGAAACAGCCGTCCACTTCTGAGTATCCGTTGCAGCGCGATGAAGTCGGACGAGCGATTAGCAGCGGAGGCGAACGAAGCCAGCACACGACTCAAGGTGGGTAGAGTATTACGAGTGTATATTAAAAAGTACCCCCGATTTGTTTCAATAAAGACAACACTTCGCTAATTGCGTCAAGGACTTTTTAATGTGCCTTTTACCAAGCTTAAAAGCGATGAAACCTGCCAAGCCACATAATTTCATTACTGTAAAAGGCGCGTTTCGTCACTACGCAGATATCATCCATCATGCGTTCTTCAACTTTTAGTTGCTCAATAATATCTTTAGTTACAAAACAATAAATACGAGTTGATTATTGCAGGTGACACTATTTTCCGAAAGTTAATGCAAAATCCCTTAAATCCCTCCACTAGTTATATCTCCGAAGCCCATTGACCACCAGGAACCAGAGACGAGCTTCGTCGGCGTCATAATCACAGTGCTGGGCACAATAATAATGCTGCTGGTGGCATTTATACTGCTGATAGTGGCTCGCAATAAGCACGCCAGGGGCAGGGAGAACGGATTGGATGCCTTCCAGCACAACTTCAGCCCGGACACACTTAACGGCAACGGTGTCCTGAAGGTAAGCGCCTAAGCGCCATCCTCGAGTTGCCATTAATGCATTCCGCCAAACTCGCCCGGTTATGTAACATGCAAAGTGCATAACAACCCTGATTCCCGCCGGCATACTCAGCTGGATCCTCGGACCATCCCGGATGCATGTCACCAGCTCCGGGGCCAGCAGGACAGCACAGAACCCAAAAAATAGATCGCACCGAGCACAAACGCCGGCCATATTCCAGAAATCATGATTAAAAACTGTAGTAACCGGGCAGCGGAATGCAAAAAGAGCCCCGGGCAACACATGCGTTTTTTTCACTACTACTATCTACTACCCCTTTTTTCCCCAGGTGGTCACAACAATGGATGACAATGAGTCGTCCATTGACAAGAACAGTCTGTACCATGAGCCCTTCAACGCGAACATGTACACCAGTGCGGCGAGTGCTTGCCCCATGAATGACCTGCAGCGTCAGCATGTATCACCCGACTACACAGGTGAGTCGGTCAGCGCACACTGCGAGAAAAGTTGGGTACGTGGGGTTGTGTGAGGAGAGCTTTCAAGTCTTCTGCGAACTTATTTGCCTAGCTTCATTCCCTGCATTCAGCAGAACCTTAAACGTGTAGTTAAAATTAAAATGTAGCATTATTTTTATTATTGTTATTTGAGAATGCGTCCCTTTTTGGGCGAATGCGATTTTTGGCACAGTAAAACGAAGAGCGTTAAACCATTAAAAGCTGTGTGCTGAGTGCTAGGAGATCCTGATGGCAGATGCACCTATGACAATGATGTGTGGCCTCTTGCCCCCAGCCATGAACTACTGGACTCCAGCGCCCAGCTCCCAGCTTCCAGCACTTGGCGGCACAGCTCTCCTCCCACTCCCACTGCCAATCCCAATCCGCCTGCCAATCCCACTCCCCTCTGAAGCGACTGGTACGCCGGGCTGTTGGTGTCGCTCCTGATGAGTTTGATGTTTTGCGTCCTGGCCGTGACAGGACATGCAGATGTTCCTGCGGCCCGATAGCAAATGGCAACTGGCGCGGGCAGCGAGGGGCAGGACCGAGAACGCAATGCTTAATTTAGCGGACAACATGGATCCGAAAGTTTGGTGGTGCGGAGTTCACAGCGATGTACCAAAGAAACTGGACGGGTATAAAAAACTGGTCGGCAGAGAGCGTTGTTGGCACCGCAGGACATAATTCTGAATTGCTGAGCCAGGCGGTTTTTTCTGAACATTTGCAGGGTATGCGTATGCAGGCTGAAAGGAGGTGCTCAAAACAAAAACAATAAAAGTTGTTTATAAATTATGCGGTATATCCAGCGCTAAACAAAGTTGATGCGTACCTTCTCCTGAAACTCCAGCTTGTAAATAATTTCTAAGTATAATCAATTTTACCATGACTTCTTTTACGACTACTGTGATTTACATTATTACACCACACATGCAAGGTTGTAGATGTAATCATGGCGAGAAATATAATGTCAAAGAATTCCTGTCTGTGCTCCCGCTTATCCCAGCAAAGTCGCCGAGTTTTCTACCAAGGGTATTAGCAGTTCATCCGGCTAGTGGCATGTTTTGTGTGCCCCTTTTTTGTGTGCGACATGTGCACGGTTTTAATTGCCACACGGACATAAAACTGCAGTTAGAAGTTACGACCTGTGATCCGTAAATTGTAATGAATTCTTATGCTCCTCTGTTGGGCCGCAGGGCAGGTTACACAATTTTTGTGGTATCCAGCTCGGAGTTCTGCCCTTATGTAAGATGCGCTTACCTTACCTGCTTCGCATGAGATCGACAACAACCTTGCAGTGCGGATTGTTTGAGGACATTCTCGTAGAGATTCCCTGCCAGGCGACCACATCGCCTGCGCATCCAACTCCCACTCATCATAAACGTTTACAGCACGCCTTTCATGCGCTCCAGTCATTTGCCAAAAGTTTCCTGACGTTGCCTCTGGGTGCATTTTATAACTGGGCAGCAAATATTTGTCATGGCTCCTCCATCCTCCGCCCGCCGCTCTCCACCTCGCAATCCCTCAGTCTGGGTCTGCCTGGTGGTGGTGGTACGAGTGTATTAATTTAATTTAGTTGAAATAAATTAAAAAGAAAAGGCTGAGTTGCTGGCTCGACTCGGCACAGTCTCGCGCGATTCCAAATTGAGTGCTTCAAACTTCAGGCCGGCTGCAAAAGTTCTTGAACGGGAACAGCTCAACTCGACTGGAGTCACTCAAATTAAACTATATTTTTGAAGTCAACTGGCAATTTGCACACGACCACAAGGACAGTGAAGCACAGACTTGATAAAAAAGGATTCCACGAACTTAATAACTTTGCATGCAAATAAGTATTGCAATAACACTGAGCAGAAAACGAGAAACGAAAGTCGTTTGAAAGCAGGTCGTCCATATTCAACCAGTCAGTCTGACACGCAGTCCCAAATTTACCTTCCGTCTGCAATGAATTTCGTGAATTCTTGTTTATGTTGATTTCATGAACCGAAAATAGTTGCAAAAAAGTTGAAAGGGATTTAAGAGCACACAGTTTCGTTTTGGAGATTACAACTCGTTTGGAGCTCAACAAATTTGTTTCATCTTCGCAGATCGAACGCTTTCAGATCATGTTTAATTATGCGCAAATAAACGACTTAGCATGGACCCTTTGCAATAAAAACCTATTTGAAAACCTATTTTAATGTTAAAAACAAAACGCTGATTTCATTTTAAAAGTCAAACGCATTTTTATTTCAGAAATGTCAATGGTAGTAGAGTATTTCAAATTTCAAAGCAGGACCCAACTTTAGTGCAACTTCAAAACTGGAGGGTCCTGATTGCTCGGCTACATAGACACCCATATACGTGCACACAATTGTAGATAACACTCACACACGTGCAGACATCCAGAGGACTTGCATGCGAAATTCGCTCGTTCGTCGAAAAGTTTTGTCATTAACGTTCGTTGAGTGCCTGCGACTGTCCTTGTGGCTCGGCTGTGGCCCAATCTGTCTCCCGTCTGCTGGCTGTTATGTTATTATGTCCTTCTAGCTTTTCTGGGCCACAACGAATGCCAAAGGACTCTAAGGCGAAGCAACAACAAAATTTAAAGTTACCCATTTGTGCTGAATGAACTGCTAAGTAAATCGTTTTGATAGATTTGTGCTAAAACCTTTCTAGGAACAATTTAATTTTCAAAGAATTCTAAAACCAATTCCAAGTTTTATAATATAAGTACTATTATTGAGTTATTACCAGGAGGAATTTTCCAGCTACAACTGATTTGGCAAAATCCTGGGAACCTTTTCTTTTAACGGTTATGATAGGATGATTTTCACCCAAAGAGCTTGCATTTATCCCACAGTAAAATCATGGGCGTCTAGTTGCAATTAATTTCATTTAGTTTTTAGCCACACGCCGTTTTTCCTATCCCTAAGGTTCAACCTCGCATCTGCCCAAATGCTCCTCTATTCCTCCGGCCATCCCTCTTCCCACATTCCTTTTTTCTTATGGCTAAATGGGAAAAGTTTTAAGTTGAAGGCAGAAAAGACTTGGACAGAACAAATGAAACCGACGGAAAGAAGGAAGACGAAGATTTGTAAAAGCCGAGAAAGGAAACATCCACAAAATGCAAACTATTGCACTTTCCGAGAAAACTCTACTGAATCATATGCAGAGGGAAGCAAATACTTTGTTTTTATGGCCAACATGCAGCTGCTTGAACATTTCTCGTCTTCAACAACGCATCAAGTAGTGGTTAACCAATGCACTGACATACTCGGCAAAATTCCTTTTGATTGTGTGGATATTAGGCAAATATTTTCTATCTGCGTTCGAGAAAGAAAAACGCAGCCGAATTCGCGATTTCTTGTCTATCTTGGATGACTACCAATTTAGTTATTCATATCCGAATAGCTAAAAGATACAATATGTAAACAGGATTCTATAAGTACGATTCGCAGCACAGGCTGGCAGTTATTGGGGTTTTATCGCACGGAATTAGCACTAACCCGTCTCCGTCAAATTGCAGATGTGCCGGACATTGTGTGCCAGGACTATGCGGTGCCTCACATGCAGCAGCTGCTGCCCAATTCCCCGCCATGCGGCTCGGGATGCGGAACGGGCACGGGTCCCGGAACGGGGTCGAGTCCAGAATTCGTTGTTGCCACAGGCAAAGTGACCGCCAGCACACGCAACTCTCTTAATGCGGCCACACTGCCGCTACCTTCGCCGCCCGTGCCACCGCCGCCGGAGAAATATTACGCAGCAACGCCAGTTTGCAGCAAGCCCATGCCCGTGGCGCCGCCGGGTTCCCAGAGCAGCGGATCCCTCAGCTCCTCGACTACGGCTGCCACCACGCCCACCAGTGGCGGCGTGGGCAAACCGCATCATTACAATTTGGATATGAGCGCAAATTTCGCCGACATTAACGAGGAGCGGGCCAATTGCCAAGTGCAGGAGTTTCCGCGTCAGTCGCTGGTCATCGTCGAGAAACTGGGCTCCGGCGTATTTGGCGAGCTGCATTTGTGCGAAACAAATGTGCTGAAGTAAGTACTGCACACAGCAGGCGGAATGCCCTCCAACTCCGTACTCCACACACAAACACCGATTCCTCTTTGGGATGGGGCTAGTCCTAGTATACTGGCCAAACCTGTAAATCGCAGATCGACCGAACCTGGCTACTATGAAATGGGTAGTATTTAGTCAGTTTGGGCCCTTAAAGCGGAAACAGGAAGGGTAGTTAGCCGCGTTTAGTTAGCCTTGAAGTCTGTAAGGCACTAAGCAAGACGTTTCGCATCGAATAATACATTTCCCTTACAAAAGAAGCGAATTACGATAGCTAAGAGCAACTTAAAACAGCCAAAAATCTATAATCTCGAATTATGGGCTTTAGCTGGTTAACAAGTATCTGATAGTTGGGCAATCCCATAGCGCAAGCTCTTGTTCTTATTAAATTCAACCAAAATGAGTAAGATAAAGCAATTAAGCAGTAGATTTACTTGATTTCACCGAAACTGTGTTCCTGTGTGGGGAATTTAGTCCTTTTCTCTGGTTGTAGCTTGTAATGGCGGGTTGACAGGCTTATGCATCCATCAAACCTGCTACAACCGCAACCCGCTGTATGTATAGATGTGCACGTAACCTTCGCTCCCAGTTCTATTATTCTTCCGCAGACCCAACCCCCTTTCATCACTCGAAATATATGCCCATGACTATTGTAATCCCCCGACTCCGAACGTCTCCGTCTCCGCAGCCGTCCATCGTCGGTTTTCATGCGCAAAAATCAATTAGAGTCAAGCTTCGAACAATATCCTGGTGGCAGGCCAATATTCTGCTTCTGGCACATTTTAATACGTTACGTTACGTAACAATTCGATTTGCCAGCTTGCTTTAATAGTTTTGCGGTCGGAAAGCCACAAAACGTATTACGTATACGTAATATTGCCCAGCCAGCAGGCAGAGTTGGCCACCACGTGGAGTGGGGAAGTCCCTGCAGTGGCTGCAAAACCATCAGAGAAACCTCCGAGACTCAGACAGATGTATGCAAAATAATTAACACACACACACACACGCACACACACAGGCAAGCGATCTGCACACATGCAGGCAGACTTTAATATGGAATAGGGCATTTCCCATTTTGGGGAAGGCATCTGAGCGGGAACTTGGAGGGCGTTCGCATGGCCGCCCCCTAGGGCCTAACAGTCTGCTAAAATATTAATGGACAGTTGGAGAGACAGTTATCAGACAAAAGATAGATTTTATTGTCCTGGACCGCAGGTGAAAATTATAATAGACGTTGAAAATCAAAGCCACAACATTACGAATGGACGCACCAAAAATTGAACAATTTCTGTGGTATTTGCATATTTCGGCACTGCGCTCGAATTGAGCTCCACGCAGGGGGAATCGGTCCAGAAGTGCGTGCAGAGGTAGAGACTACTGTAGATATGCACATACGAGAGCAAAGAGTAGTGGTGAGCTAGATATTTTGTAGAATTTTAATTAATAATAGAATTTAGAATTAAGAATAGAATTTTGTTCTCGAGGCTTTAAGTACAGTCTGCTGTGAGTTGCATTCGTTACTATTCTGGAGCTTGGTGTGTTGTGTGTTCTGCCACCCAAGCTAGAATGGCGTTGCCCATTTCCCAGCGATCTAACCGAATCTGATCCCCTCGCAGTGCTACCCTCGTGGCAGTGGCCACCCTGCGGCCCGGGGCCAATGACCACCTACGCAAGGAGTTCCGCAGCAAGGCGAAGCAGCTGGCGCAGCTGAGCGACCCCAATGTGGCCCGGTTGGTGGGGGCCTGCCTGCGGGACGAGCCCATCTGCATTGTGCAGGACTACTCGCACTGCCTGGGCGACTTGAACCAGTTCCTGCAGGAGCACGTGGCCGAGACTAGCGGACTGATGGCCAAGAAGAGTCTTAGGTAAGGACCCTCCGCAAAAAAAGCCCTGGAAAGTGCTTTTCAACTAATGCGTTGTTTCTCCCCCTTTTTTCTGGGTGCGTTTTATCGTGCTTCCTGTACCGACGCCTTTTGCCGACGCGACACTTCCGGCCTCGTGTTCAATGATAACACCGATCCCAACCAACCAACCAACCAACCCATGGACCGACCACCGAACCACCGAACCACCACCGAATTGCGCCAACGGATGTGGAAACTTCGTTACTTGGCTCGCTCACCCCACCAACTTTGGCGACGTTGTCGCATTTGAAAACTTTTCAAATTCTCATTTGACGCTGGCATCTTCCGCATCCGCTCCGTACTCCCTGGACTCCTGCTCCCCGCCCCCTGCTACGTAATGCTCCACTCGGAATCGCAATCGCAATCGGAATCGGAATCCTTACACGTCTGCGGCACAGCTTCGGGTGCTTAGTCTACATTGCCACACAAATTGCATCGGGCATGAAGCATTTGGAGCAAATGAATTTCGTTCATCGGGATCTGGCGACAAGGTAAGTGCCAAAGATAAGAATTTCCTCCGGAGTGCGGGAGCAGGTGATTTCCCTGCCCTCCTGCCCCCCTTTGCACTCCAAACAGACGCGAATTTTTTCATTTAATCTTGAAGTTATTTTGTGTTTATGGGCACAAAGAAAAATACTTTAAGAAGCGTCGCGGGGCTTTATCCAGAAGTAATGGATTATTTTGTCGCAGGCAGACAATGTGCACTGCTCGTCGGGCTGCTGTTATGATTCAGGATACGAATTATAATGTACATAAATCGAATCTGGCAAATCCGCCGAGTATCAATACTTTTTACCCAGAAGCCGGGCTTGTCCTTGCAGACACCATTAACTTTTCGCCCCTGGGAGAAGTCAGGCTAAAAGCACAGGTACAGGTTTTTAGCTCGACAGCCTCAAACTCATATTGTATGATCTTTGGAGGCCCCCTGAAAGACTCTCGAATTGCTTTAATGGAATTATTCGACTCTGCCTAGTCGCCGACGCGAATGATTTATAGGTACACCGGGCAAAGGCAAGGTATATGTACACGTATTTATATAGACTGGTAATTCAATATATCGAGCAACCCACAAGCATTGTGTGCGCCTCCTCGCATAGAATGTAATCAATTAAAATTAATTTGCTAATGAAAATGTCAACGAGGAGCCGGCAACGGAGGACCGCCAGGCAATAGCCCCCTGTCCTGTATATGCGAATATTTTTCTCCCAGTTCCTCGCTCGCTTTTTGCTTTCATCGTATATTATGGAAAATGTTGTTATAGCAGCCAGCCAAGGAGCATTTCCCTCCTCCGATTTCGCTTCAGTCATAACAAATCAATAGATACGTACACATGGCGACTACCTGGCACCGCAGCTCACCTGCTCACCCGCTCACCTGCCCTCTGGCCGGCGGAGGAAGTGCTCCTTTGAAATCCAATAAGAGAAGTGTGCTATTTTTGGGCACGCAATTGTCGGACTGAGACGCAAGCCCGCCCTTTTGATGGCACAACAATAAAATTAGATATAAATGCTGGATAAGTAAGCAATATGCCATTTGACAGCAATTGGCAATGGAAGCGGCCAACGTGACGGATGAGCGATGTCCATTTTATTTTGTTTTCTAAGAATATCGTTTCCTTGTTATTGCCATCCATATTTTTCCGCACGGCTCCAAGTTTCAGTGTTTTTTTCAAATATATATATATGTATATTTTATTCGAACTTGAATACCTTGGCATCTGAAGAGCGAAATAAATGAAGGCCCATAATGAAGGCCACTTTAAAATGCATTTATTGGCCGCCGCTCTGCGCAGTTTTCACACAATTTGAAAGTTTTCCTCGAACATTTGGAAAATGTCGATGGTTGCAGCATCCTTGTGCAAACTGCAATGCAGCAAACTTTTGTCCCCGTGTGTATTGTCCCGTCCCGCCACATCATCAGCTGAGTTTGCTGGCCCAGAGCTCACATCAGTTAAGTAAATAACATTTTTTGCACTCTTAGTCACGTTTCTAATCATTTTTATTTGGTAACTGTTTGGAAAATGTTTGCACAACGGGTGGAGCGGCGGGGCAAGCAGACCATCGGCAGGACTCCGGCTCAGTTTCCTTGCCACAAGCCACTCATACATGCATACAGGCATGCATACGTACATACATACATACGTACATACGTACTCGGCGCACACACTAACAATATTTGTTGAAATGAGCTTTGGCACTAATATCGTTTATTAGCTTGGCACTTTAGTGTTTAAATGCTGAAAAATTGTTCGAGATAGTCCTTGGGTGGCTCTGCCATGTGAAGGACTGCGAAGGATAATGGGTGTGGGTGGCCTGGGCTTGGGCTTTGCTTAGCTAACGTTGAGTTTAATTTGAAATTAGTTGAACGCTGGCCGTTTTTTGCTTTCTCTGCAGAAACTAGCACTTTCTGCCACCACACACACGTAATGCCCCACTCCCCGTTCTCCTATCCTCACGTAATGGGTCGTGGGTCCTTTCGAAATGAGTTCAGATTGACTACAATCTTGCGGACTGGCACTTGGAAAATATTAAGGTTGGAAACGCTCCACAGAAATAATAGGCGTTTTAACTGTATAAGCGGGAAAATAAGAAATTACGTTTTTTATCTATGCTTAAGTGTCTTTGGAACCTCATGAGAGTCAACAATAACTTGTTATTTGGAAAATGTCTATGAATTTCAAAGCAATAGTCAAACAAAATGCAATGTGGAAAAACGGAATCTTTTGTTACCAATTTTTTTAGATATTACCCCGTTTGTGGAGCAAACCTCCTAAGTACAGAAAACTATTCAAATATTAATACAAGCATAATTGCTTTCGTAATACCGTCTTATACTTTGGATAAGGGATCTATGATATTGTCTGCGCTACCTTGTTTTTATCAACAAGATAACTTTGCTTCGCTGGTCCATTTCATTTCACTTCCCGTTGGGAATTGTCCGGTTTTCGACACCTTTTTCGCACATAAATTTTAATAACACCTGCCGAGGGACCCGAGTGGTCTGCCATGTAAATCGTACTCCCGCCCGTGTACAGCGTACAGTGTACAACATATATGTAAGTTATTTTATGTGGTGGGTGTTTGCTATACAAAACAATTCCCGAACGTAGCGACACGACACTCCAAGAGCTCCTGCTGCAATTGGCAAACAAGTCAAGGCTGAAAGCGGCGAATGAAACAAATACACACACACTGGAGGTTGGGTCCTGTGAAGTGAGCGGGGTGGGGGTGGAAAGGGGGACGTGCCCCATTGGGACGCCCTATGTGGCGCTCATTTTGTGTCAACTACGCGACGTAAATGGAAAAAATGACTAGCATGAGGAGGAGATGGAGGAGGGAGGAGGGAGGCAGGAGGAGGACACGATGTCCCAAACTAGTTGATAATCTATGAAGCAGGAGCGGAGTTGTGCGCTGCAGTCAATAAACTATAAAATATGCAATGTTTGAAATATTTTGCATACAACTACGCTCGTGTGCCACACCATGTATGTACATACATATAAAGGAATTTCATGGATGTTTGTGTGTGTGCTGTTTTTTCAGCGAAAATATTTTATGCATGCAGGTGAATTGATTCAATGGGCTGCCAACTCGGGGCAATGCAACGCGATCCCAACCAAACACCAGCACCCAAAGGAAATTAGCTTGACAGGAAATTCCACAATACCCAGCAAAAAGCAGCCAAGCCCCACCCGCCAAACCAACCACCCAACCACCCAACCACCCAACCACCTAACCACCGAAGCCAACCCACCTGAATGCCACTGCGACTGCACAATGCACGTTGACATATCCCCACTCATCCCGATTTTCATATTACATTTGGTTGAGCTTAAATGACGAATATGTTTGGCAATCCGCCGCACAGTGGAACTCGCAGAACAAACGTTGCAAAAGTCGTAAAGCTCAGTGCATACATTTTAATCAAAGCATTCGAAATGTTTATGGCTCATATGAAAACTAGATAATAAATTTAAAGAAATTAACAAATATATAAAAAGTAATTATCTCTGAAAACATGTTATTTTGACACCGGTACTACTAATTTGCACCCACTGTGCGACGTCTGGGCCCGGAATTTTCACATTAATCTCATATCTACCCACCACCCACCGATGTGAACAGAGCAAAACCATAACCAAAATAATATATGTACACATTTAGGGTATACCTTTGCAGTTAAAGCTTCATTGTGTACAGTCATATCATAATATTCAATTTAAGTGTTATGAACTATTAATGTATTATTTTTAAGGAAATAATTTATTGGAGGTGCGTTCGTCACTAGTGCGTAGCCCTGTTCAGGGATGTTCTTATTTGTCATTTCTTAGCTGGGCACTGAATGGATAGTACTTTCTACCCGTAACTTGGCAAATTGAAGTATTTTTAGTGAATGATGATATATTTTACTTTCTAGGTATCAATTGGTAAATAAAAAAATAAGCTATGAGTAACTACAGAAAACTCTCATAGAATCAGATTCGTTATTCTGTGCAATACGCCTTTAATTTGAGGACGCGTTTCCTTTGCCAACGCAGCGGCGCAGAAACTTAATTTTTCTTAAACTACCTATCTCGTTGTTTCTGTTGACTTGTGTTCTTGCAATGGCAGTGCAAAGTTTACCATTCGCGAAAACTTTGGCCATTTTATTGCTGGTTATTTGCTGGTTCGCTGCGCCAGACGACTACGACAAAACCAATCATCCGCTCCCTCTGCCGCCGCTTCTTTGGGATGTCAAAATTTTAATAAAGTCGGGAATGCCACATTGGCCGACTGCCATTTACTTGGCTCCTCATCCTGGGCGGTGTCATGCATTTTTGTTGCAAGAATACCGACCGCCGACGTTTTTCATTTTATCGAGCGTCCTGTTTATGAACTCCGCGAACTAAGCGGCCACTTAAATTGTCTTTACGCCTTGGGGGCTCGTCTTCTGCTCCTTAAGACGTTGTCCTTTGACAAGACCTCCTTCTGAGCCCCTTTTTTGGCCAATGTCTCGGGTTTTGCCAGAGTTACATGCCTTTGGAAGGGGAATTTTGGTTCAGGTTTAGTTTATGCCGGTCTTGTTCGCTTATCTTTACTGATTGCACTTTTAGCCGCCGTTTCCTTTGGGAAATTAAAATGTACTTGGCGAAGCTAAAGCTTTGAAAAGGCGTTACCAAATTGACCTTTGTTGTACAAAATTTCAAGGGCTTCACGGGTTCAAGGAGTAAACTGCGTAACAAACATTATTTTCAATTCCGTTCTGGTTTTACATGGTTTTCATTATGATCACTAGTCGATCACACTAGATTGTAATGTTAATTAATTTATTAATTCAAACAAACATGAAATGGAACATCAATATTAGGCGTTCTTCTTTACAACGGCCGAGTCTCCTCCTTCAGTCAGTCTCTGCTCAGTTTTCTCGTCCCGCGTCAATTTATACCAAATTACAGACACAATCCCAAGGATCAGTCCCAGGAATATTCCGAGGAGGGCGACGAAAGCCAGGAAGGCGATGAAGTGGACTTCCACTAGTAAGTAGCCCAGAAAATCAATGATCGGTTGGACCACGTCGACACAGACAATTTCAATGGGGTTGGGAAACATTTTAGTATTTGTGATGCAGCAGGTAATAGTTACTCGGTTAGTTACTCAGAAAGAAGAAAGTTTCTGAGCCTTGACAGCTTTTCCATGGCTATAATACTCTCTACCATTTCACATTTCAAGGGGCAGGCGTGTAGAACAGCATCAGATCTAAAATTTCCAGTGAGCAATATGGAGTATCAGCACTACTTAAGCAAACAGTTGGCCACTTTCCACTACCATCTGCTCTTCGACTATGGAGTACTGATCAAGGTGGCCACCTGCATTGCCTTCGGCGCCGTGTGCGGCTGGATGATGAGCCTGATCACATTCGTTGTCTACAAGGCAGCAATTGGCCTGGGAGTCAAACCCAGGGCAAGTGACAACGAGGATAAGTACGATGATCTCGACCTGGACGTGCATACGGAGTATGGGTATGACCGGATGCTGTCCCAGTGCCAGGAGCTTAGTGATTGGCTCGTGAGAACCCAGCAGCCTAGACAGGACATCGCCTGAGGGGCCATTCGATTCGCCTTCTTTGTGCATGAGCCCCAATCAAAGTATCCCGACGCCACTTAGACCGTCTCGAGTGCGCAGAGTGAATTTTTCAGATACTGTTACAGTGGCAGTATCGGATATTTTCTCTGCCGTTCTCGAAGTCATTAGCATAATGTTTCTCGACACTGTCATGGCCTTAAATTGAATTCAGCGTGCACCGCAGGCCGCCATTTATGCAAGTTTATTTCTATAGACGAGGGCCCGAGGTTCAAATATTTAATAAACCAAACCGTTTCTGTCTGAAAAATTCCCTTTTTTCGTGTTGATTTTACTCAAACAGCTGGAAGCTGTTTTTCCCAATTTAATTTAACATTTTGCCTGTTGCTTTTAGAAGACCTTCAGCAAGCTTGGGCGCTTAAAGGTCATTCACTTATTTCGTAAAAATTGGGTATTTAAATCAGAAATCCAAGCCTGAACGCTAAACGTTATTTTTTAGTTACAACAATGCACAATAAATAATTATTTTTTATGTCCCCATGAATTTAGCTTGGCCATTGCCTAGTTTGTTTTTGTAACATTTATTTCTGCAAGACTGCCTACATAAATAATAAACAAGACCTCTGAAAAATGCACGTTTTATACTAAAATAGCAAAAATTCAAACAATCACCAGTCACGCACGGTTCTTACTGTCGTGTTTTTCAGTAAATGCTAAACGTGGGAAGACGTTGCAAGCAGGTGAAATATTCAATTTTAGATACTTTTTGCCAGTAAATTGAATTTATTCCACAACCCCGCGTCAACCAGCAAAACGACGAGCAACCCCTCGCCGCAGACGATAAATAATAATCGATTTGACTTTGGTTAGAGTTTGGTCACAGTGGGGGGCCATGCTGTACACAGAAAAAAAAATTAAAATATTAAAATGCCATTTTGTATTAATTCATGGCATTACTTTGGAGGTTCAGCTAAAATTCATTGACATTAGCTTGATATAAATACAATATTTTACAATATATTTTTATATATAATATAATATATTTTTACATATAAAATTGTGTTACATGTAGTATTAGATTAAAAGATTTCTCCGATAAAGTACGTCTTATTTTTTATTGTGTAGAAACTGAGAAAGCGACTGCACTGTGGAAAGCCGAGCAGCTCCCAATTCTTTTTAGGCGCATCGATTTTTTCCCAGTCCCTTCTGTTTGCCCTCGAAACTCAGTCTCTTAAATTTATGCGAATTTGAATTTGATATGGTTGTTTTCGCAACGTCAGCCATGCAAATGGCTTGATAAGAGGGTGTGTGTGTGTGTGTGAGCCAGGCTTTGCCACTTTTTAGTGTAAAATTAATTTGCTATAATTCATCAATGGCGACGAGGAAGGCAAAGGATTATTTTGCATAAAAAACGCCGCCACTTGTCGATTCTGCAAAGTTGGCTATCGTTCGCAGTTCGAGCCACTTCACTATGTGCGATGAATGGTTAAATGTGTGTAACTGACGCACGTTATGTAATTTATGGCTGGCCATTTATTTTATTGGGCTTAATGTGGGCGCAGTTGTTACGGCCGATGCCATTTGAAAGGTGCAGAGGTCCTGGGTCGTGGAGGCGGATTGAGTAATTGGATTATGTGGAGAGGTCCACTTGAAGCGCCGAATGTCATTACGAACTAGTTTTATCAGGCAGCAGTACTATGAGGTATTTGTTGGCTTGTGCTGTAATAATAATCATATTCTGTGAAGAAACGGCAAAAGGTATGCATAACTTGTTCCAAATCGCTCAAAAGTTAAACTTTAGATTGATGACTCTCTTGCTCGAAAGTAATAAGGCATAAAGCTAAAATTACCCACTGAATAAGAAAGGGATCAAGTAATACAGCCGATGAGCTGAGCCTGCTGGCCATAAATTTGAGGTGGAAGTCCACCGACACAAAGTCGGCTAAGTTGGCATAGCTCTTCGACCAGCGACAGATGGGGAATGATTTATATTTATTATTATTGGCGGTGAATTTTAAATCGAAGGTCCCACAAATGTTATGCAGAAATAACGAGTGAGCTGTCCTCTGTCCGCTGTCCTCTGCCAGTCGAAAAGTGGACTCCTGCCGTCATGGCCCCAAAAAGTGTGCTATACATTTTGTAAGCTGCTTTCGATGGCATTGGCGGCAGCTGCTTTTGTCATTATTAATAACTGTTAATTATTCACCATTATAGCTGTGCCTGCCGAGCACGTTCGCTGCCTTTGAAGGCAAACTTGTTTGCTCTGTCGCCCCGTCCCGCTCTGCCACCATCTTGCCTCCCTGTCTGGCCCCCGTGTGCCTGACTGCCGCCCCAGTAATTCCCTTTTCATATTGTTTGGCATCATACTTTATGTGCTCCTTAGTTAACGCCCGCCGATGTCTAGCTAGTCCTTGCTCTATTCCAACAACTAACCATCTCTGTCTTGCTCTTGGCCATATTTACATGTTATTAAAAACTTTTGCCCAGCTGCCTAGCTGCCTAGCTGCCCATTGCTGCTGGTGGCCAAAAAACAAAAAGAAAATATTAAGAGGGCATAAAAACGAAAGAAACTTTTCTATTTTGCCTCGACTCAAGTTATTGAAAATTCATGAATAATTGACATTTATTGGCACAAATTATGGTCGATAACGGGCAAACTGGGGCTTATGGCGGCAAGCAGTGGGCGGTGCGCTGTGGGCGGTGGGCGGAATTAGGGGCGTACATGGGGGCGGAATGGGGCGTGGCCGTCTGCCCGACTGCTCTAGGTTGCCTGCACATTTATAGACATAAATATTAAAGTAGCTTACGTACTTAATTGTAAATTATGCATTCAATTAGTTATGCCAGACTGCCCTCAAATGATATTTCCAGTCGGGTTCAATGTGAGATAGAGCGAGATTGCAAATTTTCCGGGGAAGAGACGCCTGCTGAAAGTTCAATTAAATTTCATATATTCGTCATTGTGCTCCTGTGAGTTGGGCGCCCAATAGTTTCAGCTGCAGGAAAACACTTTGGTTATTCGAGCTTGGAAAATCGTATGTGTTCTTGTGTTCTTGCTATCTGGCCGCATTATTTTAATCTCTGCGATTATCATATTACCGACACTCTGACAACTGTTTATTAATCCTATTTAAACATGTTACGTTTTAAAACTACCCAGCATATTCTTAAAAAAAGAACATCAAGTAAATTTACGTTTGAGTTAATCACATTTAAAGCACTGCAGTTACAGCATCCCTTTCCCAGAACTCAAAATAACTAAATAAGATAACTATCTCATTAATTATTAAAAGAGCATTCAAACTACTTTTCGCGTATATAGCCTAGATTTTCCAGAAGTGAATTCTAGAGAAGGGCTTATTCAAGATTTAATTGATTCAAAATAAGTCTCTTTTCATCCATACGACGTGAAAATGAGCAACTGCAAATGATACGTGAATTTGGCCCGCAGCTTTTTGGCTTCATTGGATTTCCAGGCTGCTGTGGAGTGCGTTTGCTCCATTTTAGATTATGAAAATATACACACCGAACTCGACCCGTGCGGCCCCTTCGTTAGCCTTAGATGACTTCACTTATTTTGCCATGAAATAAGACCAGAGGGTGCTGTCAGCAACATACGCTTACCATTTCCGTTTTTGTTTTAGTTACAACTAGAGGCACACCCACTACCAGCACGTGTGTGTGGGTGAGCGTGGGTGTGTGTTTGTGCTGAACCACATATGGTTGATGGTTTTGAGAGCCGGCGGTACGCATTTCCAGGCATTTGCATTCAAATGCATTTAATTAAATCAACTAGAACCAGCAGACAATGCAGGAACTGCAACAGCATCCCGCTTCTGCAATATGATGAGCTCCATAACGCTTATAACCAAATTTATTTGGTGTAAATTCTGCCAGGTTCGGTAGTTTTAATTGTGTTTAGTTTTCATTTCGCAGTGCGAAGTTGAGATGAGTCCGCAAACACGTCTATGAATCGAAATGGATAAAATATTCTCGTGCGCGAATACCACAACTAATAGATTTTTAACACTCCATCTCAATGGTGATTTTTCCCACCATTGGGGTAAGTAAGTATTAAGTAAGTAATACTGACATGTTTCGAAACGAACTCAAAAGAAAGAGTCTTCTATTCGGATTTCGGTTTGGAATCGGGCCCCACGTTGGGCGCCACATATAGGAAATTGCTTTATCTTTGTTTAATGTTTGTTCCATTGTGTGTTCAATAAAAGTGTTCTACTCTTAAACAGCTTCAGCAAAAGAGTTTAGCAATGAAATTGTAATTCTGCTGTAAGGAAGCTTTTACATATTTTTTGCTCAGAATGTATCTGTCAGTATGGCATTGTTTGGCATGTGCCCAAAAACTGCGAAGCCATTAAATAAAATATAAAACAAGAAGCGAGAGACTGTCAGCCTGTCTACTTGTCCTGGGCCAATCCCAGTGTCAATTAGCCATTTGGCCGCTACAGCTTACCCGCATCAAGCTGTCAGAAAGTTAATATAAAAATCTCATTCGAATCATTTACTTTATTATAGCTAATTGAAGGCCAGGTCGGGTTGAAGGCAGCAGTCAAGCCTTCTTCTCTTTAATCTGAACAAGTAGCGTTCCG